AATCCATGCAATGAGGCTAGTTAAATCCACTTCAGGAAATGCGTACTATTGCTTATTAACATTTGGTTATTACATTTTTCTTAACATAATTAAGTAAAGTTTTTCAGATATACATTTAATTTGGTTCGCGGGCGTGGTTAGCAGTGCGCGCTACCACTCCGCAGGGCCTGTGTTCAAGCCCGGTTCAACCCAACATCAAAAAACAAAAAAAGTTTTTTCTAATATTGGTCGCCCCTCGGCAGGCAATGGCAAACCTACGAGTGTATTTCTGCTGTGAAAAAGAGCGTCTTATAAAAATACAATCTCTGTTAGGAGTCGGCGTAAAACTGTAGGTCCGTCCCCTTTGTGTGACAACATCAGAAGAAGCGCGGCCAAACACTAACATATGTGTAAGCAGCAATTTATTATTATTATTATTTAATTCTGTCTTTCGTTTTGGCCACTAATATTTTGATGTTAACATGCTTTTCCGACTGGGTATAACGGTGAAGAAAATATGAATGCATATATAATTTCATACCATCATAAGCAGTGGTTCAACGACATTTACTTTGTAGTTTTCTTCTTACTTGTTCTTCCTTTTTTGTTGAAATTCGCTCGCGTGAATAAATATTGGCAACGTTGAAGCATTTTACAAAATTTTTATTCACTGCGGGAAATCAGCATATTACAGTCATAAAAATACGACTACGTACATATATATATGTACATGTAGTATATATAATTATACAGAATAAAATATACATATATATATACATACATACATATATGCAACATTTTTTAATAAAGAAAAAAATGTAGATACGATTTTAAAATTAATATTTCATAATTGTGGTTAGGGGAAGTCCTTTCCAACAGCAAAAAGCATTATTAGTGTCTCTAATTTGGTCAGTCTTTCAATACCAGAATGACTCGGACACATTTTTACCTCCGACCAAGGACCATCACCACCAGCTCCGACCAGCTCGACACGACGCATCCCTGCCGGTAACGCACGTCGTCGTCTACACCTTGTCCGGGACCAGCGCTGGGCATAAAGATGATTTCACTTTCATCAACGTGAATGGCTAGCGGGTGACTGCTACAGCTCGTCAAACATCCCTGTAGTCAGCGGGATCGGAAAAATTGTATTGGCTGGCAACTAGTTGTTGTTGTTGTTGTAGCAGCATACAAATTCCCCAAAGACTTTTTGGGGAGTGTTGCTGGAGTGACAGTCCTTGGCCAGATATAAATCTGGGTCGTTCCGGTTACGTAGACCCGACTGTCGTGGGAACGCTGGCAACTAGTACTCACACTCGCTTCGGTCTACCTGCGATTTCTCTAGTGGAGTCTTCAAACTGGCAACCGTCAAGTTTCCATTCCGGCGAAGCGCAAGGAAATATTACCGTTGAATTCTTTAATACATCGTCGGCCCTCGATCCAGCTTATTGCCCATCCAGAAGGATAAAGCGCTTCGAAGCCTGCTACGGAAAATACCTCAACTACGCCTCTGAGACACCACTAGCTGCTATCTATCGAAGTAGAAAACGGCTTGGTTCATCAACCAGGAAAGATAGGGGATCTTGGACAATCTATAGTTATTCCCAGGAGCAGTGTTTATGGAAGCGTTTATGGTGTGCTGGAGATTTCCATCAACTATAGTTAAGTTCAGGATATTAAACTCGAGATAAACATTAAAATAACAAAACACAAATGGTTCATAATTTGTGGGTGCGTAATTTAATTTTAGGTGAGAGTTTCAAAATTCGTAAAAAAATGATTTGAAGCAAATTATTATACATTTACTTAAGCTTATCACTACTATTATTATTATACTTGTTCAACTCATACGCGCATCAGTTGCTTACTCAGCATCCATTAGTTGTTGTTCAGCGTCGGCCTGTGTTGTCTCTGCAGCAGACGTTGCATCGTTATCTTCGATGTCCATATGTTCAGCGGATTTTTCTAATTCACGCAACTGTTCCCGCAAATCATCCGGCAAACTGTTTTCACTTAGAGCACGTGGATCTTCGCCTTCGATTACGATCTCTTCTGGATCGGGGGCTCGTGGCAGAAATTCGGCATCCACGTATAATTTGGCGAATATGTCACGAGCATTTGCAATTGACCTGTCGTAATCCAATTCATAAAAGGGAGCGCTGGTACAAAATATTGGTGTGGAGGAATCCACGTTTGGAGTAGTCATTGTACGTTGACGTCCCATAATGGTGAAATAAGCAGANATCGTAATCCAATTCATAAAAGGGAGCGCTGGTACAAAATATTGGTGTGGAGGAATCCACATTTGGAGTAGTCATTGTACGTTGACGTCCCATAATGGTGAAATAAGCAGAGTACAACAGTTTGGGTATATTTCCTAAATCAGAATTGAACACTTGTGCCACAAATGGCATGATATCCTGTTCAGGTTGATTGCTTTGCGCAGTCGTTGTTAAGTGAAAAACGTCTGTGAAGTGAATACGATTTACGTATTTATGCAAGCGTATTATTACAAACAATACTTACATATTCCTTTCGGGCATGTTCCTGAGAAATGTGATAACTGTATAAGGATGGCTTCCCGCGTCCCGTCTACAAGCCTTAAAATATTTACGCCTCCACCACCGGAATTCAACTCTTCTGATCCCAATGGCGTTGCCGTCAAGAAAATACCTCTGGAAAGTAGGTTTACTAACTCGCCTTGACAATATATACCTACATTTCGTTCAAGAAGCACATTTGGTAAGTGCTCTTGCGCGCTAACTACGTGCTGCGCTTTTATGGTCTTGCCCTCCAGCACAACGTTCGCAATGTTGGTGTCAGCTTCAATAGTTATATCATCGATGCGTCGCTTTAGACAATAAATGCCACCAAATACTGCACACAGCCGGCAAAAGCATTGTGGTATTTCACCGCAACCGTACATTGGAAACAGAAATGGGGTATTTCCGTATCGTCCCAGACTATTAAGAAATTGTTGCGTTCGGGCCATGCCTTCCTCGAATGGTGTTTCATCGTTGCACATAGCAATCGCTTGCATTACACAAATACTAATCTTTTCGGTGACTTTTTGCTTTTGTAGGTATTCTCGGAATGTTTTCCCACGAAAAATTAGAGTATCCTCTTCTGTTTTATCTTCACCATATGTCAGGCATAAGGTAAGAAATTTCATAAGTAACCGTTTTTCCACAATATTCAAGTCTTTGGTATTGAACACATCGCTGCGCGAGCAAGGCACATTGATGATTTCGTTACGAAAACGCGTACATACACGGTCCACTGCCCGAAATTCAGCATAGCGACATATATTAGAAGATACGAGTAATTGCACCAAGCGACCAGCAGAATAGAGTATTCGGGGGCTAAGGTCTAAATTAAAACGTCGTGATTGTTGCAGTAACGTGCGGCGACACCATTGTTCGTTTTCCTGATTTCCGACGTTTGTAACTGTATCACCGTCGACTTCTGCTCCAGGACTTACATTTGCTTGTTCGTTTCCTGACGAATTGTTTTCATTTTTAATTTGTTCGTCTACGTACCACTTTTGGGTTGCATATCTTATTACATTATTACTGTCTTGATCCAATAGTGCACAGAAAGATTCCAAGTTGAAAGATGCCCAAACACCTCCGTAGTACTCGTTTGGATCGATATGTAAGACACTTTTGCCTATGCGACTCGCTGCTGCAGCTACACAGCTTTCCGGAAACCCAGTGCCAATGACAATCAAATCGAAATTGTCTGGGAGATCGTCAGTCATGTTGTTTAAAAATTTAAATTTTAATTACTTAAAAATTTTAATTTTCAAGAACTAAATGCCAATTTTCCGTTGAAAGTTGTTCGTTGATGGATGAGTAATAACTTCATCAGCTGATTGACAAAACGGCGAAAAGAAAACCGAAACCAAGGCGAATTTATACAAGGTGGTGTTGTCCAATCAGCTGATTTCTTCNCGGATGAGTAATAACTTCATCAGCTGATTGACAAAAAGACGAAAAGAAAACCGAAACCAAGGCGAATTTATAAAAGGTGGTGTTGTCCAATCAGCTGATTTCTTCTTTCCTTCGCCTTACATGTATTTTGTTTTTGCTTTAACTGATTTGACAGCATGCCCCTGAATAGCAACAACTTTCCATTTTTGGTATGCTCCCAGGAACCAAAAATACTATTTCACGTAAGAACGCGACGTTGTATTTGTAACCGGTTTTGAGAAAAAAGTTNTGAACCAAAAATACAATTTCACGTAAGAACGCGACGTTGTATTTGTTGTATTTGTAACCGGTTTTGAGAAAAAAGTTTGCGACAGCGGGTTCGTCAGCTGAGCGTTTGTTTACATCACAAGAACCAATATTTTACACTTTTATTTAAGTAAAGAAGAGTTAATTTAACATGACAACACATTTAATGGCCGACAATAATTATTACTTAAATTACTTTTCGCTCGTTTTTCAGTGACACAAGATGGCGTAGAACCCGCTCAAAAAATAGACTTTTTTCACTCTCTTGATTCGTGATCTTGTGTCTTTCGTTCATGTATGCGCCTTGATTTTTTTCATGAACGAAAGACACAAGATCACGCGGGAAGGAAAGAAAGAAAAAAGTTATTTTCTAGCTGCCGAAATCTCGACGCCATCTTTGTTGTAAAAAGTAAACAACGAAGAGAACGGAGAAAACCGCGAAATTGTTGAACGCTGTGAATAATCATTTTTATTATGCAAATTCTTCTATAAATCATGCCGTTGTGTTAAATTATTCTTTATCTTATGTGTATACACGTTATCACAGGCGAAAATGAAAAAAATTGCAGTAAAAAGCCACCACCAAATTGTAAACAAACGGCTAATGTCAAAATCGTTAAACATTTTTCCTAAATGCGATTCTAACGGGCTACTCTCCTGCCCGCGTGATCTTGTATTTTTGGTTCATGGATGTTTTTGCCCTTAAGTTCCTGCTCTGCGTTGAGTGCGCAGAAAATTTAACTAAAAAAAACCTTTAAATTTTGCATGTCGCCGCGTGGGTAAATGGGTTAAGGAATTTACGTATTCTGTTTTACTTAATTTTCGCATTTTATTTGATAAAGGAAAACACCACTTGTTGCTTAGCAACCATAGCGACAACAAAAGGGGCGAACAAAACAAAAAGGGAAAATTTTCACTAACAGTTAATTTTTTGGTTGGGAAAAGGATAACTAAAATATAAACTTAATTTCTAATAATAGAATCAAATAAATTTATGCTTCGAAAAAATATATATAATACAAGCCACATGTTGATACAATTTTTAATTAGTTTAAGCAAGCTGAGCTAAAAATGAGAAATGTGAAAGCAGACTGAATCAGAATTTCCATAGTCTGACCAAATGGTATGTTATATACAGGCAAGATTTTCATCTATATTTGTAAATCGCTTTATTATATCGGTTGAATCACTAAACCTAATTTATATCTATTTAAATTTATTTCGAAAAGGTAATAGGAAGTATTTAGTATCCTTCGCCATTTGCTACCTGGAGCTTTCTGATTAAAGAAGGTTGTCAATCCATGAACTATCAACTTGATAATTTGCGGACCAAATTTAATAATGTCATTCGACAAATTATTATACAAGTTTGATGATCCACACGGGCCTGGAGATGTTTATTTTATATGGCAAAAGGGATCGGCCGGCGCACTATTGGCTACAACTGGCTCAGATGGCTCTGTGGCTATATTCAATCGCCAAGGACAATTGGTGGAACGCATGTTGTTGGCGGGGTAAAAACCATACAATTTTAGTAAAGAAAAATGTGCTTAAGCTTTCTAAAAAAATTTAGATTATGCTCTGGTTTTGCTTGGGATAATGGAGGTGAGCTCTTGGGCATTATAAATGCCAGCACTCCCATCATAACTATTTGGGATTCTAGCTCTCAAATGAAAACTACAATAGAGTCAGGTCTGCGTGATCCACTTACTTGTATAGTGTGGTCAAAACAAGAACAGGTTCTAGCTGTTGGAACCGCCCGTGGCAACTTGGCTATTTACAATCATCGTTCCGGGAAACGTACACCGATTTTGGGCAAACACAACAAGCGCATAACGTGTGGTGCGTGGTCTGCACAGAACCTGCTGGCGTTGGGTTCGGATGATAAAAGTTTTTCCTTGAGTAATGAGGCTGGGGACACTATGCGAGTAGTGCAGTTGCGTGATGCGCCCACTGACATGTACTTTGCGCAAATGGCTAATGAGGAACGTACCAGCGGAAGCAATGGTAGCTTGGGAGATGTAAATGGTGGCGGTGGTGAAAATACGATTAGCATGATTATAGGCAAGCGTACTCTTTTTCTCTACTATCTACCCGAGCCTGATGCGCCGACGGAATTGGGGTTTCAAAGTCGCTACGGTTCGCTGCTGCAGCACAAATGGTTTGGTGATGGTTATATTTTGTTGGGTTTCTCAAATGGACATGTTGTGGCGATATCTACGCATCCACGTGATGTTGGCCAAGAGTTATGGCAGGTTAAAAATCACAAAGATGAACTGACTGGATTAGCGTACTGCCCTGCTTTGGACATAGTGGCTTCATGTGGTGATGATACGTAAGTTAGCTGTTTATTATTATACTTTTACTTCAACCAAATGCCGCATTAAATTTTAGCATAAAAATCCATTCCATTACTAATCTGCAAGAAACCGAGAAAATCATAACCGTACCTGACCATTCGGGCGTGCAAATGATCGACTGGTCCAGTGATGGGCAATTACTAGCGGTGACCTCCGTGGCAGGCACAGTTTACATTTATGTAACCAAGCTCTCAGTTATGTACGCTGTCTCTCCACCACGCATAGCTATACTCAGCAGTTTAGCGGAGGTATCAATTTACGTGTATACGCCCGAAAAGGTATTTTCTGTGAAGTTGAAGGGTAAAATCTTTTCTTAAAATATAGTTTTGCAGAATACTAAGCCAATACCATATCGTCTGAGCCTTTTGGATGAACCTAGTTGTTTAGCCATCGGCCCATTCTATCTAGCAACCGGTCTCGATAATCATGTTTGGTTTTACGACTTGGGCAAGACGCTGGGCGATCAACCGCAATTACTCAGTGAACGTGATTTTCCTGCTCCGATTGTCGATTTTAAATTGAATGCTGATTACTGCGCCGCCTTATGCAGTCCGCGTGTGCTTTTGCAGGCAGTTGTCACCGATAATCCAAATGTTAAGGATAAATTGTCACAAACATTCCCAACCGCGCTGGCAGGACTCAATGATTCAGTAATCACGTGTTTCTGTTTGACGCAGGAATTTTTGATATTTGCTACAGATGTAAGTAATCAAGAAGTATAAAAGCAATATACGCTTAAAAAGAATAATTTGTTTCCACCCTTTGCATGCAGCTTGGTCATCTTATCTACTTTTCACTGGATAAATGGGATGTTTGCACAAAGTACTGTCACAACATGGGTATTAGAAAGATATTTTCCGATACTGAGGGTACAAAAATGATATTTGTTGACGAACATGCACAGGGATATGTATTTCTACCGGTAAACAAAAATGTTGCGCCTATGGTGATAGTAGGATTTTTTTAAATTTTCGATAGCATACTTTCTGGCACGGAGTTAGAATACATAATTATACGTAATTCCAAATGGTTCGGATTTAGTATATTTTTTTTTTTTTAGATAATTTTCAGTTTTATAACGTGGAAACACAATAGAAAAACCGTTGGAGAATCTTTGATATTTTTACTGTATTAATTAAGTTTTTTATTGCGAAAACGAAATTTCTTAGAGGATTGAGGTAAATCGCCAGCTGAATTTAGACAGCAAGTAAAAGAATAATACACGAAGTTTTTTCCAACATTATTTCCAAATAAAAAAGGTAGTTTTTTGGTATATCTGCAGGCTTTGGAGGATACAGTCATTATATCAGATTTTCCAAAAAATTGCGAGGGTTGTTTATGGGATGTGGCACAACAGCACGTTTTTATAACGTTCGATACTAAATTGGTGACTACTCATGTGTTCGTGCGCTATTCTGTCCAAGGTACTATATCTACACAATTTGTTTTCGGATGGAATTTTTGTAAATTCTTGGTTTTTAACTTCATTGTCTCGTTCTCAAGGCAAACATACACTTAAGATTGGCGAAAGTAAATTGAATCCTGCTCAAGTGCCGCTAATGTTGTGTGATGGCGAGATGGTAATGCATATTGATGGCGGTCAATATGCTACGCAATCGCTATCCACGCATCTAGTTACACCGAGCATAAGTCCTAGCGGAAATCTAAAAACACTCTTGAATCTCAAAAACTATGTGGAGGCGTACAAGACTTGTGAACGCATGAATGCACGTTCAGCGTGGTTGGAGTTTGGCGAGCAGGCAATTGCTGATTTAGAGCCGGATATCGGTAAGTGGTTGACGTCACCGCATGCTGCGGTTCTAAATTTTTTCCTAATTTTTTGGACTTTAATTTCTAATCTAGCCCTGCGCGCATATCGTCACACTGGCGATGCTGCTATGGTCGGCGCTTTGGAGAATATGCGTTACATTGAAGATGTGGCCATGCTTACTGGTTTCTGTTGCCTGTTGTTAGGGAAATATGAGGAGGCAAAGGAGTACTTTTTACGCGGCACATACACCAAGGAAGCGCTTGATATTTGTCGCGATTTGCTGCAGTGGGAGCAAGCATTACTGTTGGCGCATAAGTTTGAGCCAGATGAGGTGCCATTTATTGCACGGGAATATGCCCAACAGTTGGAATTCACGTAAGTTGAAATGATTCAAAATATTTGCCTTTTTAAGATAGCTTAGCCTTCCTTTTAAACGTAAGTGTTAACGTCAACGGTTGATCTTGCTACATATTCCTCATTTTCTGCAAGAGTGTCACAAAAAAACAACAAGTAACTTTTAAGCAAAAAGTAATTTTTAGCAAAAAAAAAGACTAAAAAAAAAATATATATATATATATATATATATTTCATGATATAATGATCGGATCTAAACCAGATTAGTATGGGACCACCTCTGAGACACTAACTTTCCGATGCAAAAAGAATTATCGAAATCGGTTTACGTGGTCCAAAGTTATGCGGTAACATACATAAAAAAAATAAAAAATAAAAAAAAATATTCCGGCGAACTGATAACCTCCTCCTTTTTTGGAAGCCGGTTAAAAAACAAAACCGACTTCAATTCTCATATACAAATTTAAGATTATCGTTAATTTCTTCATGACCCAATGATCGGATTTAAACCCAATTAGTATGGGACCACCTGTAAGGTCACACCTTTCTGTTAAAAAAGTAATCATGAAAATCGGTTACCGTGGTCCAAAGTTATGCGGTAACATACATAAAAAAAAAAACAAAAAAAAAAATATTCCGGCGAACTGATAACCTCCTCCTTTTTTGGAAGCCGGTTAAAAAACAAAACCGACTTCAATTCTCATATACAAATTTAAGATTATCGTTAATTTCTTCATGACCCAATGATCGGATTTAAACCCAATTAATATGGGACCACCTGTAAGGTCACACCTTTCTGTTAAAAAAGTAATCATGAAAATCGGTTACCGTGGTCCAAAGTTATGCGGTAACATAAAAAAAAAAAATATTCCGACGAATTGATAACCTTCTCCTTTTTGTGAAGTCGGTTAAAAATATATATGTACATATATAAATAAAAATAAAATAAAAATTGAGTTTAGTATTGAAAAATACTGCCATCTCTAAAAATTGCATAGCTGCATACATAGATTAGCAATAGCTCACTAGAAGAAAATATGTCTTTATTTTTATTATGGAAGCGTATGCAAGCTGTAAACTTTAAAGCCCTTTTCTCGAGTTTTAATGATTTGGATTATGACACTCTTGCAGACAATGAACGATATATATGTAAATATATCGCCGTTTAAATTACAAATCCGCGTATCAACATAATGCAAAACCGCGAATGTGAGGTTGCATAAATTATTTTGTAAGCAATCGGATTGTGGCTAGTATTTTTCAATGGATAAGGTTTGAGTCAAAAGCTTCGTTGAGCAAATCCAATTTTTGGCAAAAAATGTCAGTTACGCGGTTTTGCAGAACTTCGATACGCGGTTTTGTACTTTAAACGACGATACCTAAAACTATGATGGGCCTAAAACTATGCAACAACGAACGGATACAGTAGAGAATTGAAGCATGAATTCGGCCAATATAAGCACATGCACAGTAATCTTCCTCCGCATTAGGGTAAGAACATAGTGGAGCGGCGAGCCAAGCGTCGATTTCAAACTCATATGTTTCAATGGGAAAGTGCATTGTGAAGAGCAAAGCGTACATACACATTGAAGCTTTGCTCGATGCTAGCTCTTCGCTTTGCTCGCCGCTCCACTATGTTTTGCCCCTTATAATAATGATAATATTTTGGAGCTTACGCATTTTTCTACGGGTTTGGCCGAGCTTCTCCAATTTGTGGTGTGCTTGTTGATGTTGTTACAGAAATGGAGGGACCTAGAGTTTTACACTGGCTCAGAACGATGATGGTTTTTATTTACTTATTTTTCGTATATCTTATAAACAGGGAGCGGATTTTATGGAAATTACCCTTTTTCTGCTAAATATATAGAGTATATTGGATTAAGAATGTTCACCATTTAGCTTTCCCTGATTCCATATATACACATTTGATGTGCCTTTTTTGGCCTTTTTTGCCTATTGTACCTTTAAAAAAGTATAGCGAGGAAAAAGCCCTTACTCCTGATAATATAAAAGTTTCAAACGTTCCATATTTAAATTGGGCACCACTTGTATCAACTCACGTCGAGCGTATGTTTAGTACATGCAAGGCTGTGATAAGCCTCTATTCTGCTACAAAAAAAAAAAAAATAAAGCTGATAATGAAGAAAATCGATGGATAAATAAAGAAGTGTAAAGTGGTCATATGAAAATGCGCAGATTTTTTGCATGAAAAATTAGGAGGAAAGAATGTTACTCATACACCATGTACACCTGAAAATAGGTTTGTTCTTCGAGTAAAAAATTTGTACGAATTTGTACGAATTATTATGATTGTTGCCCAAATCGCGTTCGTGCAGACCAAAAAACTATCCAGAGAATTTTGTAGGGGAGAGGGTAAGGCTCCTTGCATTGAAGAAGCGAGAAAGTACGGAGAGGTAACCGAGCAGAACTAATTAATTCCATTCCCAGACGCCATTATCGAGCAATCGGTAGCGTAAGAGCCAATCGAGACTCCCTCTGGTAGTTGAGTGAGCTTAGAAATATAGTAGTTAAACAGTTGCGGCAAAAGGACACCACTCTGTGGGACCCCCTGTTAAATCTTTCTTGACTTCCTGGTTTTTTCCCGGAAAATTACCAACGAATGTCGACAGCTCAGATAATTTGCTGACCACCGCTTGAGTCCCCGTGGGAGAGAAGAAGTCTCAATGTCTTATAGTAGCGTGGAGTGATTGACGGTGTCAAACGCCTTTGACAGATCCAAGGCTGCTATGACTCTCAAAGAGGCGATTCGGCTTAGGTCACCAATTATCTGGGTGTTTATGGCGTTATGTGCTATTGCTGTGCTGTGAACTTTACGGAGCCCATGCTGATGCCTCGCTGCGGTCAGGTGGTACGTGTAATGTGGGAGTAGCTAGGCCTCAACTGTCTTCGCCACCGGGGAAAGGAAGGTTATCGGACGACAAGACTCCTTTGTTGGCCGTTTTCTCCGGTTTAGCAGGGGGTCTACTCTCTAAGTTTTCCAGATATCTGGACCGATGAGAGTGGCCATGAACAAATTGAGGACCTTGGTGAAATAGTCTACTGCCGCAGGATCCAATTTTTCAGTATCAGCATGCTTATTCCTTTGGGAATGGCTTTGGAGGCTTTCGCCTTCCGGACCGAACCTGCCGAACAGTTTGTGCAGCCTTCTGGTCACTCGAATTTTGGCTTTGTCCACCAGAAAATGCAGCGTAAACTGTCGGCTAAAGTAGTTCGCACATTGCTCCAGGGCCACCGAAAGAGATTTCCACTCAGTCGTCGCGCTTCGTCGGGTTGGACATTGACCTCACGGTTGAGCAAAGCTTACTCACAGCAGCAGTGGTACAAGTCTTCTTCCTACTTCGTCTGCTTATGTACGTTCACGAGTTGCCGAATCTCCAAGTTGAGATCCCTAATGCGAGGATTTCCGGGATCGGCCTGGCGAAGGTTGTCACACTCATCGGCTAGGACAGCCACTTCCGCAGGAAATTGCAGACGGGTGTCCAGCTGGAGTAAAGCGTCAGCAGTGACAACCCTGCGGAACGTACGCTCACCTAGGTGAACGTCTGTTGGTGTGGGTAGGGCAAAGGAGTTGATTTCAGTAACTTTCGCGACGCCAATCCAAGAGTTAGGTCTCTTAGCCTCGTTGTATGTTGATCTAAATTCCCTATATGTAGAGTAAATATAAATTTCAATTGCCAACAATATCAATGTGCCCAACTGTATATTTCTCTTAGAGAAATCTTTTAGAATAAATACGTACATACTATGTATGTATATTCGTTAAAAAAAGAAAAAAAAAAATTCAAATCAAAGACCCAAAATAATTATCCTAATATTTGGGATCAAAAATGTCGCTTTGTTTTAGGATAATTTTTTTTGCCTTTGTATAAGAATTATTTACGAGAAATAACTCTTTTCGTCTCTCAGGGCGTTTATTTCAAGACGAAAATTATTTACGTCTTCTCATAATAATTATATGGGATTTTTATTTCTTTTCGTCTCGCTGGACGTTTATTTCTAGACGTAAATAATTTACGTCTTTTCATAATAATTATATGCGACTTTGTTCCAAATTCCAAAATGTGAAAATCTGTCCTGTTTTTTTTTTTATCAGCCGAAGTATCTGACGTAACGTTACCTTACTATAATTTCTATTGAAAGTTTTGTTGTTAACATTGTTTTTAATCAAATTTTTAACGCAAATAAAACATGAGTTTTAGCCTTAGCTAGTGTTCCATTTCTTGCGAATCTATGTCGTACTATAACCTTACTTACTTTGGAATTTATATGTAAAGCAATATGGATACTGATTGGACCTTATCAGTGCCTGGCAAATCCACCACAGATCAGGATTCACAATACGAACAGACCCGTGAGAATAGGATCGACACACACCATCTATTTGGTGATTTCAAAGCCGCTTTCGACAGCACGAAGAGAAGTTGTCTTTATGCCGCGATGTCTGAATATGGTATCCAAGCGAAACTAATACGGTTGTGTAAAATGACGTTGAGCAATACCTCCAGCTCCGTCAAAGCCGTTTGATACCAAACGAGGTTTCAGAGAAGGTGACTCCCTCTCGTGTGATTTCTTTAATCGGATGTTGGAGAAGATAATAAGAGCCTCAGAACTGAACCGCTCAGGCACAATGCTTTATAAGAGCGTACAATTGCTGGCGTATGGCGACGACATCGATATTATCTGTAAAAACAAGAGCTACGTCTGTTCTGTCTTCTCGGGATTGGATAGAGAAGCAAAGCGAATGGGTCTGGTGGTGAACGAGGACCAAACGAAGTATCTCCTGTTATCACACAAACAGCTAGAGCATACGTGGCTTCGCACCCACGTCACTGTTGACAGTTACAAGTTTGAAACGAAGTCGTCTATCGTTTATTTGGGAACCACCAATAATAATCTCAGCCTTGAAATCCAACGGAGAATCACTCTTGCCAACGAGTGCTACTTTGGACTGAGTAGGCAATTGAGAGGTAAAGTTCTCTCTCGTCGTACAAAGATCACGCTCTATAAGTCACTAATCGTGCCTGTGCTGCTGTATGGCGCGGAGGCTTGGACAATGAAAACATTTGATGAAGCGGTTCTTAGAGTTTTCGAGAAAGAGATTCTGCGAAAGATTTACGGACCTTTACGCGTTGGCGATGGCGAATACCGCAGACGATTTAACGATGAGCTATATGAGCTTTACAACGATATAGACATAGTTCAGCGAATTAAAATTCAGCGGCTCCGCTGGCTTGGCCATNTGATTGGACCTTATCAGTGCCTGGCAAATCCACCACAGATCAGGATTCACAATACGAACAGACCCGTGAGAATAGGATCGACACACACCATCTATTTGGTGATTTCAAAGCCGCTTTCGACAGCACGAAGAGAAGTTGTCTTTATGCCGCGATGTCTGAATATGGTATCCAAGCGAAACTAATACGGTTGTGTAAAATGACGTTGAGCAATACCTCCAGCTCCGTCAAAGCCGTTTGATACCAAACGAGGTTTCAGAGAAGGTGACTCCCTCTCGTGTGATTTCTTTAATCGGATGTTGGAGAAGATAATAAGAGCCTCAGAACTGAACCGCTCAGGCACAATGCTTTATAAGAGCGTACAATTGCTGGCGTATGGCGACGACATCGATATTATCTGTAAAAACAAGAGCTACGTCTGTTCTGTCTTCTCGGGATTGGATAGAGAAGCAAAGCGAATGGGTCTGGTGGTGAACGAGGACCAAACGAAGTATCTCCTGTTATCACACAAACAGCTAGAGCATACGTGGCTTCGCACCCACGTCACTGTTGACAGTTACAAGTTTGAAACGAAGTCGTCTATCGTTTATTTGGGAACCACCAATAATAATCTCAGCCTTGAAATCCAACGGAGAATCACTCTTGCCAACGAGTGCTACTTTGGACTGAGTAGGCAATTGAGAGGTAAAGTTCTCTCTCGTCGTACAAAGATCACGCTCTATAAGTCACTCATCGTGCCTGTGCTGCTGTATGGCGCGGAGGCTTGGACAATGAAAACATTTGATGAAGCGGTTCTTAGAGTTTTCGAGAAAGAGATTCTGCGAAAGATTTACGGACCTTTACGCGTTGGCGATGGCGAATACCGCAGACGATTTAACGATGAGCTATATGAGCTTTACAACGATATAGACATAGTTCAGCGAATTAAAATTCAGCGGCTCCGCTGGCTTGGCCATGACGTTCGAATGGACAGAAACGCTCCTGCTTTGAAAGTATTCAACGCGGGCCGCGATGCTGGTAACAGAGGAAGAGGAAGGCCTCCTCTGCGTTGGAAAGACCAGGTGGAACTTGGCTTCACTTGACATTTCCAATTGGCGTCAGTAAGCACAGAAGAGAAATGATTGACGTGCTGTTTTGGACTCGGCCAAAATCGCTTAGGCGGTTACAGCGCCAATAAAGAAGAAAGAAGAAGAAGAATATGGATATATTTTGCGCTTTAAAGCGCAGAAATGTGTACTATCTTAGGTTGGTATGTGGCGCGCCTTCAGTTATGTACTTATTAAAGCGCAAAGTGTCAATTCTTTAATAGAAAATGAGACCAATATTCAGATTTAATTATTTAAATTTTGTGTCGATATTTGGAACATCGAGTCTTTTTATTACGATATTAATGAAACCCGATATTTTTACAGCGGTACTTTAAATGAGTATTATATCGATACTTTCGTTTCTATGTCGTGTCCCTACTTGTTATCACATAGTGTTTAGTGTTGGATAATTTTTGCTCTTAAAATTAAAAAACAAAACACAAATAAAATCATGTGGAGCTTAATTATAACTACTCGAAAATGCGAAAATGTGACAGATTGCAGACCTTGTGTGGTAGATGTGTGGATGCTCCAAAGTGGTAGAAGTCCGATCACTGTTTCCAATGCCGAGTGGCAAAATAACGTGAGGGTCATTTTCAAGGTCATCTCGAAGTCAATATGTTTTTTTTTAACTGGTAACTGGTATGTGTGTTTACTAATCATAGTTGGGTAAATTTGGTAAAAAATTATTGAATATAAGATTAACGCTTCATATGACACTGACGGTCAAATGAATCTGACATATGATATGTTATCTAAACGTAGAATTTTCCGTTCTTTCTGAATTTGAGTTAAAAAAGGGGGTTACCAGATCTTAACCAGATTAGTATGGGACCACTACCTTTCCGATGCAAAAAGAATTATCGAAATCGGTTGACGTGGTCCAAAGTTATGTGGTAACATACATAAAAAAAAATAAGAAAAAAAAAAAAAAAATTAAATAAAAAAAACAAATATTCCGACGACCTGATAACCTCCTCCTTGTTTGGAAGTCGGTTAAAAATCAATGCGGTTTTTGGCAGCTTCAAACTTGCACTTTGTGCACTAAAATGAAAAAATCTGATTAGAAAGTTGCAAACTAGTATGCAAATTTAATGAATTTTCGTGAGTTTTGCACAAAGTTTAGAGATTTTAGAGAAGAAATTGAAACAATAAACTTTGCATACATTGCGAAAAATTCTCTGTGCCAATACTTTTGTCCGGAAGTGTATGTGTGAATGTGCACAAAAAAAAGTTTTTTTTATTCAATACCCATGCTACCATGCAAAAAAATGTAACGTGGTTTAAAATTTACAAAGCAAGTATTTAAGATTGTATTGAAAAACCGAATCGTACTTTTTACCTGTAAGGTTAGGTTATGGTTGTAACTTTAAAAAACTAAGAGCCGTGGCCGCCGTTTGGCTTAGTACACCCAGGGGGGCCCGCACCACGGAAAGAGCCTTGGGGCCCATAGATTCTAAATCCGACTGTGGTGCCTATTTTTTATTTTTTTTTTTGATATTTAAATACATCCAAACATAATGGCCTTATTTCTCTAATATAGATTTGGCCAAACTGCCGCTTTCTTTTTCAGTGGAAATTATGCTGACGCACTATATCACTATGAAAAGGGTTATAAGGAGGATCTCATTAACGACAATGAAGAGCAATTAATGAATGCCTCGCCAGAGTATGAGGAGCATGTGCGGCAATGTAAAATGGGTATTGCACGTACATCTATACGGGCAGGGGATTTCCGACGCGGCGTAAGTACCTTGGCATACTTCCATTCATTCGCTCATTTCATGGTTTGTTGTGCTTCCATAGATTCAATATGCCGTCGAACTGAACGACAAACAATTGCTTTATGACTGCGCCGAGTTATTGGCCACAGTCGGTCACTACACCGAAGCCGCTGGCTTGTATGAGCGTGGCGAATACTTCGATGAGGCTTGCAGCCATTATATCAATTTGAAAATGTGGAATAAAGCAAACCAAATACTACCGCAAGTGCTAAGTACCAAATTGCATGCCGCCTACGCTAAAGCCAAGGAGGGCGATGGACAATATGAAGAGGCTATTAATAGTTATCGCATCGCTGGTGATCTGGACGCCTGCGTGCGCATATATCTGGATCACTTATGCGATCCGCATGCCGCCTCTGAGATTGTGCTCGAATCACGCTCCATGGAAGCTGCAAAGATGTTGGCGAAATTCTATCAGAAAATAGGTGATATTGAGCAGGCGCTGCAGTTTCTAGTCATTTGCGGTTGTGTGGAGGAGGCTTTCGCATTGGCTCAGCGACACAATAAGCTCAAACAACATGGCGAATTGTTGCAGCGCTACGAGAATGCCAAATCAAGCGATTATCTGGCATTGGCGCATTACTTTGAAGCCGAGAAGTATACGTTGCTGGCAGGAAAGTATTATTTCTTGGCGCGTGAATTTAGTAAGGCTTTACGTTTTCTGCTGAAAGCATCTGCATTCAGTAATGAGGAGTCTCAAGCGCTCTCGCTGGCTATTGACTGTGTAGCCACCTCGAATAATGAGCAGTTGGCCACACAATTAATTGAATTTCTGTTGGGTGAAGTGGATGGTGTGCCGAAGGATCCACGCTATCTCTTTCGGCTGTATATGGCACGCAAGCACTACAAGGACGCGGCAAAGACGGCTGTTATTGTGGCAAATCAGGAGCAGCTAGCTGGCAATTATAAGACTGCACGTGATATGCTCTTCTCGATGTATCAGGAGTTGCGTCGTAATAATTTGGCAGTCTCTGCTGATATGCGACACAACTTGATTTTGCTGCATCGTTACACTTTGGTGCGCACACACGTGAAGCTGGGCAATCATCTGCTGGCCGCCAAATTGCTAGTACAGGTTGCCGCCAACATTTCACAATTTCCAGAACGTGAGCAGAAAATATGTTTACATTTACATACATATGTTATTTTCGTAACTTTTGAGTTATCTATTGCATACACTTTCAGACATTGTGCCCATACTCACATCGACTGTTATCGAGTGTCATCGCGCAGGCCTTAAGAAGTCCGCCTTCCTTTACGCTTCGATGCTGATGCGTCCCGATTATAGGCATCAGTTGGATCCACGCTATACAAAAAAGATCGAGTCTATCGTACGTAAAGCTCCGAAAGGCATCAAAATGCTAAGTGATGACATCGACGCTGAGACAATGGAATGCCCGATATGCGGCGCCAATTTACCAAATATGGAAGTGACTTGCCACAGCTGCAAGACAACACTGCCCATTTGCATAGCCACGGGTCAACATATCATTAAACAACAGATGACCTCGTGCCCGGAATGCGATTTTCTTTGTTTTCGTGCGGAAATGGAAAAGTATGTAAATTAATGACATATAAAAAAAGAATAGCGCAAAACCCAAACAAATTTTTTTTTTTTACAGAATACTTTCTGAACTGAATGCGTGTCCGATGTGTGGGGAACATGTGGCACCAGAACAGCTGCTAGATGTCGAAGATATACGTCCTTATATATTGGCGTCGTCCTAGTTGTGTGCACTTTTTATAGTAACTTTTTATTTTAAGTTACACAAATATATGCATAGTTATTGTAGTTTTGTTTTAAAGCGCCCGTTAATTTGCACGAGATTGTATTGTAATTTATATATGTGTATATATACGTGTTTGGTATAATAAAATCAATCACCTGCAGCTCAACGTTTTTAATGTGACAAATCATGCATATCAGTACAGCAAAATTTAACGTCGTATTGGCATGACATGACGGGCAAGGCAAAGAAATCGTAAGACCTTGTGATGTCTACTACAGCTGCAGCTACAGTAAAGGAGTGCAGAATTCTGCATATTCGGCGTGGGATTGTGGTCGCCGAGTATTGTTGTTATTGTCGTTCATTGTCGTTCACCCCGACTGGCGAGCGTCTATCCATAATCTGCATCACAGCGAGATTCTTAAACATCGACGACAGAGAAGGTCGAGATGTACAAAGGCCAGTTTTTCTCCAGATCGAAAAACATGAAACCAAACCACACCATACAAACGCTTTTCTACAGCAAAAAAAGGGTGGGTTGATGAAATAACACAAACGGCGATAACGCAAATTTGTGTTAATTCCCAATTGAAAGTGAAATAACACAAATTTGTTTTATTTCATTTCTCTTTGAGCAATAACACTAACCTTTAAACTTAACAATTGAGTAATAAAGCAAAATACTGCACCCAGCTACATTTGACAAAAAGTAGTACATGAACAAGATAAATGGACGGATTTGTATGTATACAAATTTGAAAAAGTGACGCCCGCGTCCCCCGCCCCCTCCGTTCCTTTCACAATTATGCACTGGTCGCATTATAACCGTTTAGGAAAAATAATAAAATGATACTAGTTCACTTCTGAAACTGCTTTTTAATGTCGCAAGACATGGGAATTATTGCGTATGCTGTTATTGCTTGCACCCCACTCATCGTAGAATTATACCAGGTGAAGTAATATTAGAGTGAGAAGAGAGATTTTGAAACTGCCTTATTTGAAAAATTGCCTTTAAAATTTGACTATAAGGCAGTCGAACGTCAGAAAATAAAGCGAGAAAGCTGTTTTATTACTTCACGAGTTTATTGGTCCCTTGCAATCATTTTATGGTTTTCCAGCTTAAAAAGCATGCAGATAAAATTCATACAAAAGCGCTATGTCCAATTTGCCGAGCAGTTATTAAAGAATACGCTTGCCCTATATTTTATTAGACTTTTCATAAGTAAAAAAATTTTGTGAATATTTTTTGTTTAATTGTATTTTTGAAATAAAAAAAGTTATTTTTCCTCCGGTTTTTGTTACAAATAGTATAAATAAGCTAAGGAAAATACGGGAAAATTTATTTTATTTCCAACCTTTGCTGGAAATAAAGAAAAACTCAGATTTTGGTATTATTTCACATTTAAAAGTGAAAGTACCAGGTTGACCGAGCTTTGCCCGGAGTGCATATACTTTTTAAAGTTTTCAAGATTTGGATAGCTTTAAAAAATATTTTGGAAAAAAAAAATAAAAATTGGATTTCGATATCTTAAGTAAATTTCTTACTCCAAAATTTAGGTGGCAATCCTATTCCGAAATACGCTGGAATGAATGGTACATATCATGAGCGTATATGTACTGTGTATACTTAAAAAAAAATGCTGATTGAAATTAACAAAATAAAAATTTGTATTACAAAGAAGCGTGGCAACTCTGATGGAAAATTCTTTCTGACGAAAGTTCACTACAATACCTTTTATTTGATATGCATATTGCGATGTTTTAGATAAATTGTGTAGAATCGAAAATAAGTGGCAACCTTACACTATTATCTTAAAGGTAACATTTTGTATATAGGGAAAGCATTGTTTAAGAACCTCTTCTTGGTACCCATGAATAGTAAAATTTTACCTTTTTTTCTAAACAAAAAATTTCATAAATGTACGATTCAAAATAGGTTGCAACCCTATTAAATATATTTTTGAATTAAGGATCTTTAAGATACCTTCCAATTGGTACCCATATTATCATGTTTAAATTGTTTTGTAACTAATTTCGAATAGGTGGCAACCTTATACGAGTCTTCCCGGAGATAGTGCCTATTCAGATAACCTTAGAATCTAAAACATTTACTGAGTACAAAATTTCATCAAAATCTTTAGAGCCGTTTCCGAGAACGCTATGGATATATATATAGTATATATATACAAGAATTGCTCGTTTAATGTAATAAGATAAAGCAAATTTTGCGTTATTGCCGTTTGCGTTATTTCACTGCAATGCTTTTGCGACCGCTCGACTCAACACCTTTGGTTACGGAATACCAACGAATCTACTGTTGATCTGTTGAAGTTAATTTAGAGTTAACTATCATTTAGATATAAGCTAATAAAACTTTGTACATAAACTAAATTTTTTTTGTAAGGCGAACCGAAGGTGTTACAACACTAGCGCCCCTTAAATCATAGTTAAGTCGTGATTCATTCACTTCTTTTCTCATAATAAAAAAAATTACTGCGCAATTTCTTCAGCATTTCAGAAGATTTTCAGTTGGCATCAGCAACATATCATCAAGGAAGCAACAAGGCTGCAATATTGCGGTAATTATTACGTAGCTGGAACACACCCGGAATTAAACATTAAAGTTCTGAAAGTACGCGCTGGCGGTAGAAGGGGAAGAGGAAGGCCTACTCTGCGATGGAAAAGTCAGGAGGTGAAGGACTTGGCTTCAGTTGGCATTTCCAGTTGGCCTCAGTTGGCACGGCACAGAAGAGAAACGACTAGCTTTGGCAGTTATAGCGCCAAAAAAGGAGAAGAAGCGACACGTTTGTCGGAACAGACGGCGAAAAAAGCAATCGCCTCTTCAGCAGTGGTACGAAGTGCTTGGGGAACATATGTATGCAAGATTTATTGGCTATTCGTTGCGACTGCGATCTGTCGATGCCAACCTTTCGTGGTGGTGGTTAGCCTAGATTAGGTTGGAAGGGCTGCCACCGCGCAGAGCACGAAGGCAGACATAAGCTTAAAAAAGCTCTTGTGATACCACTGGCGGAAGTCATTTGTTTCCGTCCCTGCCTTAGTAGTTGAACCACCGAGTGCATTTTATATAGCACAGAAAATTGAGAATGTTCAACGAGTTCACTTCGGCTAAACAGTCTAAAAAGTACTAATTGAAGAAGTGTTTGCGCGTTTTAGCTGGTGTCAGAGATAATGCCTCTGCAACTGCAGAAAAAGTCGTTTGGTTGGATAACCTAACCTTTTCCCGTGTGTGCTCATCAGAGAGTGTCCGGTGAATACCCCCCGACTACTAACCTTAGAGAAGAGCGGTTCAACCGAGTGATAGCATCAATTTTTGTCCATAGGATAGAGGTATTCCCGCTTTTTGGGCAGTATTGACTATGGATATTTCCGTCCCTCTCCTTGTCAGCTCGTAGGTTATGCAGTCGCTAGGACTGTGTCGAAGAACCCATACAAAACTCAAGGATAATTTTGATGCAAGCAGGTTTAGAATCTTTCGGCTAATTTGAACGTTGTTGCGTTAGATTTTAAAGATGTTATAACCGCCTGGCAGTCAAAATAAATAGCGATAAGCCGCGAGTTCACCAGGATGAATAGCGCTACCCACTCTTTCGTTAAGCTTGGAACCATCTGTATATATATGTAGTCATCGACCTAAGTCTATGGGCCCTCCCCATTCGTATCTCTCTGGGATACTTATGGAGAACTTGTTGTCTAAATAGAGTAGATGAGTGGTATAATCTAGTTGTCGAAGGTTATCCGGTAGAATTATAAGGACCTTTGCATGACCGAATCTGAGGTCTCTCCGCGGCTGGATCATATTTAACCTGGTACCGTGAAGAGTAGAAGTTTCATTAGGATTGGCGCTAAGTCCACATTCCTTGGGCCAGTTGTGTACGAGGCTGGGTGCGTTTTGCAATAGCTAAATCAGTACCTGCAGATATTTACGCGTTACTACGATTGCTGTGTCATACGCATATGCTATGAGGTTGTGTCTAAGTCACGCCTTTTATTATACAGAAGAGCATACCTACGTGGTAGAAGATATGCTCGTGCAGCCTAAATATTTTCATTGTCGGACCAGATTATTCAGCCTTATTGCGTAAGTCTTAACTGCGCCTAATTTGCATGACTCGACAACATTGCAATTGCTGAAATATGTTAGTCGATGACCGTTTTCCGTTTTAATACACTATTCGAGTCGAAATTTAAGGCAATACCATACAATTCACGATACGACTCGACTCTTGAAATACGACTTGATACGACACTCGAAGTGGGGCTTTTTTAGTTTAGACTTCTAAGCCGACTTGGAAGAAAAGGGAAATATTGTGATTTTATTTCTGATATGAAGACGCTTCTTCGATAACCACCGCCAGCCAATAGAAGGCGGCTAGCAACTGAAACGATACATTATTTGAAAGACATCCTCCATAAATATATTGCAAGTTGGATGGAAAATCGGTATGTGTACCTATGATGCATTTAAATACATATGTATGTATACATATATGCACAATGCTTATTTTAATACAAACATGTATTTAAAAATACCACTTTATTTTACATTACATGGCCAGGCAACTATTTGCAATTTATTTAGTTACTTCTCATTCTCAGAAAAAACAACAAACATATTTTCTTTTAATAATCCGTTTTAATTTTTTTCACTTTATTTTTCATGTTTAGTTTCATCATTTATTAATTAGAAATATATATATAGTATGTATGTGTGTATATATAGAAATACGTTAAATTGTTTTGTAATTTACGTTTGTGTATGTGTTTATTCATAAACTAAATTGGTACATATATTCAACACTTGTTTTTTTCTTAAAATTTTCTTTACTTGTGTTTTTTTATTTTGTTTATAAGTTTACACGATTGTGCTTACATTTATTATTTAACTCCATCTCTGCTCGCCTGCTTTTATTTCTGTTACATTGATATACATAATGCTAATAATTCTAATAATCATAATAAAATATAATTAATAATAATAAAAGCGCATAAGGCGCGTTCAAAAGGTTTTGCGATACAATTTGTTTGCGCTCAAAATTTTCATAGATTTTAGAACTAATTGAAATGTTTAACCAAAAAACGCGAAATTTGAATTTATCCAAGTCGAACAACAAAACTAGAATAAATTTATAAACATAAGCTGAGTTGATTTTATTTTATTTTTTCTGTTTGCCGTAATATATTTTCTCGAATTTTCTCGACGCGGGTCAGTTTGAATTACAAATTTAAACTAAAAAAAAATTTTAAAGGCCTCCAATCTTATTTGCTTTGCTCTACATATTTTTCGCACTT